AGGGAGATCCACAGCCAGCAGCTAAATGTGACTTGCCTCAGGTGCTCTATGTTATTGGCAAATGCATCTAGAAGTTCATTTATATGCATCTAAACCACAGACATGAAAACATGTTTTCTGCTGTGGAGGCTTAAAATGTCAAACCAATAAATACCTCAATAAAACAAACGAGTACACCAATGTAGTAATCGATGGCTGTAGTTTACCAGCATTTGCTCTGCCTTGTGCAGTTAAGGGCAACAAGGATGTCCTCTCCATAAAGTGCAGCCTTTATAGTGTTATGCCTGCTATCCAAGCACTGTATGTGCTTTGTCAAAGCAAAGCTCTGAGTTTAAGAGGAATGTGCTTTGTTTCTTCAAGTTTATTTTAGTATAAAACCATGATAAAATCTAACAAACTAGATCTAAAAAAAAAGTTGTTCCAAATCTAAGAAATAAACAAATATTTGTGTCAAAAGAAAGGTTAACCTTTGCTATTTAGGGATGTTTGCACCAGTTTGAAGTTAAGCTCAGTCCAAACTTTAAGGCCTAAATAAAAGAAGACAACAGATTTCAGATTCTTACCCAGTCAAATAACAATATGCACTGAATTGCCTACAGTTATTTTCTTTATAAATATTAGCTGTACAACAACTCCAAATTGGTCAGTCATTGCAATTGGTGAAAATGATGCAACATGGAAGGACCTTTACTTGTAAAGTGATGTAGACAATAAATGCATTAAACCAACAGACATTAAATTATGTTTGCTAAATCAATGCAATTAAATCATACATCGATACTTCATTTAATGCGTTCCTTTATTCTGAGAGAAAAAAAAAAGGTATCAAACATGTGATTTCCTAGTTAGGGAAAATTTTTACATTTCTCTCTGAAAAGGTGAATGAAATAAGTAGGTTTCAGACATGTATCAAAACAGGATAATTTATAGAGAGGAAACATAAAGAAGTTCTGAAACTATATACTGTGTTGTTAGAATGGTATGAAATTCTGTTAAATGCTAAATAAATCCATGGATTAAACTGTAAAAGAGAAGATTGTCATTCACGATGATTGTCAAAATTGTTAAGACTTTTAGGAAAATCAAAGGTGGTCTATAGTTAGGTGCTGTAACAATTAGACCATATGTTAGGAGAAGTCAAGCTCTCAGCAAGAAACAAGATTGTCTTTAGTGGATCTGGACAGTTTCTCAGACATTTTCCAAAAAGCTGAAGTCCCTGCAAACTGAGAAACATGGTTACTCAGGCATCATAGGATGAGGATGCTTCCTATGCTATAGTGTAAGGTGTCGGTTTTACAAACAAGGGATTAATTGATTAGTTTGAATCATTCAGTTTAGAGATCATATTTGTTATATGGAATAAGAAAATTCAGTAGGATAGTTATTTAAAAAAAAGATGACAACACAGAAACTCTAGTCAAGATGAATCCTAGATGTTCTCAGCTTATAAGATTACTATAAAGAAGAAAACAACCCAATCCATTTAATGCAAAAGGAAACGTAAGGGATGGCGTCAAATAAGCTTTTTCTGAGGCAAAACAGTCTGATCTTCCTGGGATGCAATATTCATTCCCAACGCCACAAGATGGTGGACTTCAAGTTACACAGATTTAAAACATTTATGACAAACAGTGGTTACCCAAATGAATTTTAGTTCAGTATTTAGTGAAAAGCTAAATCCTCATGAAATGTTCCTGTTTTTTTGCTAATATTTATATGAATAAAAAGCACATTGCTATTTTTCTTTTATTAGCCAATCCATATATTTTCTTTTTTTGCTTGACATGGAAAAGAATGTGCAGTTTTGCCAATGCATTTGTGTATCTGATAATAAAAGCCATTTTGAGGGTTTTGGGTTTTATTTGCCTTATTACAATAAAAGCAGCTTGCACCCGGGCTGTGATAGCATCTGTGGATTTCTAGCAGTCTTCCAGTCAATAGAGATTACTGTACTTTAGCCATCCGTCTTTAATTACTCGCTTTCAGAAGACTGGCTTGCTGAGAAACATCCTCAGCATTTTGTAGGTGACTTCAATCAGTATGCATTGTTAAGGGAGCCACAATTAAGTGGACACTAATAATCAAGTCTGAACAACACAATCATGTAGATGCATAATTATATCAATTACAAATTTGTTTTTAATCAGATGGGGGAGGGATAGAGAACAGGTAGTGATAATCTAATTACCTGTCAGGTGTTTTATTTTTTTACCTGATGATGCTTCTTGAAAGTTGCTCCAAGCAATCAGCAAAATGAATGTAGCTTTAAACAAATTATAATGCAGCATAACAGAACCACACTCCAGTTTAACCATTTCCTTAGACTTGTTAAAGGCCCTCTACTGTAACCTAGTCTTGGTCATAGAAAAGAAAAATTGAATGGTGCAAAAGAAAAAAAGGAAAATAACCTTAATTGATTAGTCAATCAATCCATTTTCCGTCACGCTTATCCCTGCTGGGGTCAATCTCTAGGTGTCTTTGGGCGAGAGAGATGGGGAACACCCTGGACAGGTCGCCAGTCTATCGCAGCGCAACACAGAGACAAACATTCACGCACACAAGGAGAATTTAGAGAAACCAATTCACCTAACAGTCACGTTTTTGGACCGTTGGAGGAAGCTGGAATACCCGGGAAAAACCCGCGCATGTACAGGGAGACCCAGAACCCTCGTGCTGCAAGGCTGCAGTGCTACCCACCTTGACTCTGTGCACTACAAAAACAGCAGTTTGTAGTGGTGTAAACTCAATGCAGTATTACATCTTTTTGTATCACTCCCAATGATTCTAGGTGCAGGTTACCGACCATACTTTTATATTTTTCCCGTAACTTTAAGACCTGCAATTACTTTAAACAAAACACAAAGTAGGAGGACAGGTCTACGTTTTGTGGCTGACCTTTTAAGTTTACAGCGCTAAACCTTACTGATGTAAGGTCATTTTTTTATTCATAAATGGACCAAATGTCTCATCTCAACTATAAAGCAGGGTTATACTTGTTTTCTGTTTAACTTACCATTATTACATGGATGACATATTGAGCTCCCTGGAGCATCTTACAACAGCAAAGTAATACTACTGACTGTAAACAACCGCCTGAGTGCTCTCTAAAGGAAATATTATTAAATCGCCTCTAGAAAGAGCTGCAAACATTTCCAAATCGAGCAGTTTCCATCTTCACTGTAATATATCTGTGTTTTACCTGTTAAAGTCAGTCTCACTGTTTGAAGGAAACATCCATATTTGACCTGCAAATTGCTCCTTTGAAAAGATCAGCTTCCTGTAAATGTCTTTGGAGACTTTTAAAGCATTTCATGCTTAAAAGTTAAGCTAGAAGTTTTGTTTTTCATCATTCACCCCCACACTGAACAATGTTGGTACTTTGTCACATTTACTGTTTGCTTAAGAACATTTTAGACTTGGGTTTCTGAATATGTGGGTGGTCTGGAAATGGACAAACCAAGTTAAAAAAATATATAATTTTCACTAATTTTTCAGTATTGTTACCCTCTTAGCTAATAAATAAAATGTACTAATCATATTTTTTATTATAAGTTATTAGCCATCACATCTGCCAACTTCCAGCCAGCCGCTCCCACTATGGAATCCTTTTTTTCTTAGTTCTGGTTAAGTTGGGAGTTACCGATGTTCCTGATTTTGGTTTGTAAGAATTTGCTAATTTGTAAGCGTGTCCTTTTATTTAAGGGATCCCCTTTTTATTGTTGGTTTTTTTGTATGTATGATTTTCAAAAATAAATCTTAATTTTTTGTTACATAAATATCCATTTCAACCTTTCATAGCTTCTTTGAATTTCGGAGTTGCTACTGAATAGAGTAGGTTTGGATGATTTTATTCTGAAATTCCCTGCAGCTTTTTTGGTAAGCTACCCTACTTTGGGGAGCTGAGACCACTGCAGCATCCGGGCAAACTTCAACATGGCCTTGGTAACTGCATCCACACTGCAGATGATGTGAACTGACAATGATTGTAATGATTCCAATTACATTTGATATCCACACTGTATTCAGCATGAGCCCTGCATCATCATGGGCGTCACAGTGATGACAAACGTCTTTCATCCAGTTTGCAAAAACAGAACAAATAACAATTTAAAAAATATTTGCTCATACATACGCCTATAGTTAATTTGAAAGGCTTAAAAATGTTGTAGGACCTTTAAGTCACTTCAAATTATAAATTTTAGCTTCGTTGCAGAGTACCTTCCTCAGACTTTATCAATAAAATGAAGACAAACCACAAGACCTCTCCTGCCCACAGTATCAACTCAAAACAAATCTTGTTATATTTAGTTTAACTTTGAGATTGTGTATTTTTTTTAGTGAAACCTTATTTACAATGAAATATTGAATATCAATGAAACAAGTTTAAAGTTTATTCTTTGACCTTACACTAATTTAATAAGCCAAACAGCCACTGTATTAGGCAGTTGTTCCATATTGAGCCTGAAGCAACAACACAAACATTGCTACAATTTAATACTATAGCTGAACTGTTATAATAAAAACAAGCTAACAGGTTTAGACATAGTGCAAAAATAAGCAACTAAAAAAGCACAACAAAAACTGGAGGAAGGTGATCACAAGCACAATCAAATGCCTCCAAATATACTGGCACTAAAGTTAAAACTTCCTTCCCATTCTGAGACAGGCCTGATCTATTCCCAACACACTGCAGGCACCAGATGCAGCGCACAGCAGAGACGAGATGCTATCACAAGAAAAATGGGAAGGTGCAGCTTTACTGATGTTCTGCTTTAATACAACATGAAACCGAAGTTTGCAGGGATTCTGTTGCACATCTTAGCAAAACCCGAGGAGATAGAAGGTATTGTGTCCCAGACCTTGAATAAATCTATCGAAAAAGCGGAACATTTTCAAAGTTTTTGTCTGTTGTTTACAGTTATATTTACATGGTGATATTTGAAGGTTTCCACATGAAGTAATAAATTCATATTAGCACAAAATTTTCTTCATAACAGAGCTTGATTCCAAACTTTTTATTTTTGCACTTAGTTTTCACAAAAAGAACCACAAGACAACATACATTTTATTAACTAAAAATAAAGCACATTCTCCATAAGGTCTGCATTACCCATGTGCTAGTGAGAAATTGTACACAAAAAAAAAGAAGAAAAAGAAGACGGGGAGAATAAATGTTCTTATCAGGAGCTTGCAGCTCCAGCCAAGGCATATGTAAGTGCATCAGAGGGTGAAAAAGTACTAGCAACTGTGCTGGTCTATGCTTAAAGACAGCCACCCACCGTCCCCACAATATACACACAAAGAGTTGATGACTTAAAACACTCCTGCTCATGGCTTACTGACCTACTCTATGTGCTCCCACTTTATATTAAATGACAAAAAGAGGCAAAAGTGATTTTGTTTTTACAGAAGGAAAACAGTCAATCAAACCAAGGACTATTTTGAAGACAGTTAAGTTACTTTAGCTGAAGAAATGAAACAAAATCAACTGTTTTATAACAGTATAGATAGAAAAACACATAGAGCTGGTTGTCTGTACAGGTGGTGCAGAATAAAATATCTGCACCCATCAAGTTTCTACTTGGCGCCAAGTTTCCGTATGTTCATGATCAGCCTCTTGCTGTACTCTCTGTGGTCAACAGGCTTCACGTCCATCACTGTGGCTTTGATCCTGGATTCGTCCTGTTAAAAAGAGAGAAAAAAATTTTTTTTAGGGAAAGAAAATACAAATTTTAAAAGGAAGACAAATGGCTGATTAGGGCCATCACACCTTGCAGATTTAGCCAAAGTATGCCCGACGTCCCAAAATCTCCTAAAATGCTGGAATGTGTTGAACTTTTTATGTAGTTTTTCAATTTTTGGCGTATACATAGTGTATTCATAATGAGTCCAAAACTTATGTCCAACGACAGCGTAACTTATGCATAACGCACGGCAATGTAAGTCCCATGAAATGATGAACAAGCATTTCACAGGCATAACAAAGCATTATTTAAAGCTTCTCTCCCTGAGGGAGGTGCCTGGTCTGCATAAAAAAGATGTCTTTGATTGCGGTATTAACCTAGCAGCTGTGTACCGCACGCAAAAAAATTAAAAAAGAAAAAGAAAGAAAGGTTTGCAGTAGCAGGGAGGATCCATCATGCTCACCCTATTATGGGGATGAAGTCTGGGGGAATACAGTTGGTTTCCTCCTGTGAACCCCCTTTTATACCCATATGCTATTATACAGTAGCTGTAAGTTAGAAACATGTTAAGTGGTCGTCTGGAACTAGGGTTGTCAAAAGTATCGATACTGAAACATTGTATCCGAATACAATACTCCTTTTCAAACGTATCGATACAGTGCCACCACCAGTGGCACCTAAGCAGTCATTCATCTAAAGTGCAGAATAGAGGACAATCCACTTTCTGAACACTGTGTGATTTTATAAAATTTTAGTTTTATAAGTTTTTTTTATCAAGCTTGCTTAATATTGTGCACAGCAAACAACCTCAAAATATTGTTATTATTGTTTATTGTATTTATTTATTGTATTTTATTTGTTAATGAAAATATTTCAGTAGAATTTTGGAGTCTTTGTTTTTATCCTTGTGGTATCGAAAATGGTATCGAGTATCGAATATTTTCCTTAGTATCGGTATCGAGTTGAAAAGTTTAGTATCGTGACAACCCTATCTGGAACACGTCAGACACATTGATATGCGTTGGAGATAAGTTCTTTATAAGTTATGCACAAGTCACTCATAGGTTTTGGATAAGCTAGACGCCACCACTAATGAATAACTTACACTTACCTTATGTCAACGATCAAATAACTTAGCTGTAACATATTGCCCACGTATGGCATACGTAGGAAAATTTTGAGCGTGCTCAAAATTTCGACATACTTGTCATATATCGTGCTCATAACTTATCCAACTTATGCCGGTGTTTTCGCCATATTTTTCGTACGTCAGGCATACGCTGGTCTAGATCGTCAAGATGTGACAGGGGCTTTACAGTGTGAAATAAATGCTTTTACATACAATATGATTTGTTGCAGCTTTCAACGCAGGTACTGCCACCACCACCAGAAAATAAAGATATCCAATGGAACAGTATAAAGTTATAAAAGTTAGCTAGCAATGTTTACTGAAACAGTGTGTATAATACTGCAGAGCTGATTAACATTAAAACCCATACATATAAAAACACACCCAGCAGTTTTACTCCACATGTCAAGCTTTCTTTTCTGGCAAAGTCATTTGATTTTGACTTTTTTTAATTTGTGGGTATGATCAGGAAATCTCACAAGTAGCTCACAGAGCCAGAGTTTAAAAAACAAACCTATCCCTTTAAGATGCAAATTGATAACAGGCATGCATGCACCAATTGTAGTATTAACAATACAATGTGTATTCTAAAGTACATAATAGAAAATAAGCACAGTTCAGACTGTTTAATTACAAAAAAGGATGACATGTGTAATGGTATTTATGAAGAAATTGGATGCAAGCATCTTTTATCCCCTGCAAGACATTTGGAGCAGCCATCTGAACTGCGATGGCATTTAGCTTCCACAGCTGTCTAGACATGGGAGGTCGTTTCTCTCAGGGCCATTCATCCTTGCATTTAAACTGAGGTTACACTCAATTTTTTCCCCATTAATCCTCTGCTGTTGGAGCGGGTAAATGCAACTCATCTTCCTTTAGAACTGTGCTCCCTCGCTTTCAGAGCTATCATATACATTGTGTGTTTCATATAAAGAGACATTGGGCTACAGCTGAAATAAATGGTTTTCTATTTTGTTTGTTGAATAGCTCAAAGTCAAAGGGGGCTTTCATTTAAAGTTTCATTATCTTATCCGACTGAAAAAGCTGAAAACTTTATTTAAACACCCTTAAAGGTAAACCGAGATTAAATTAAAGTTATATAATCGGCTAAAATCAGATGTTTTCTGCGTTCTTCCCCAACATTAACAAAAAAACAAGTTTGTAGATAAAAACAAGATTGTTTTGCTCAAAGACTTTCCATTTCTAATTTGACACAAAGCACAAATCCTTCAAATTTAGGTGAAGTAAATCATCTTTATCTCTAATCTTGATTGGTTTAATTATGATCACTGCAGGAGTTTTGCTTCATAGCAACTGTTAGAGATGCTAACAGCATCACAAAATTTGATTAGGTGTTGAATGCTTTAAAGAACCACATAAAAACATATCAGTCTATCAACAACAAATTTACCCATTTCATACCTCAAATGTTTAAACTTAACATTAAAGGTTGAAACAAAGTTAATTTAGCCTCTTATAGCTGCAAAACAGAATATTTATATGCTAACTGGCTTTTTGAGAAAAAACAGACATTTTAAGACCTTCAAGTATAAAGGCTCATTAACAGTACCAAGGTTTGAAGAAAAAAAGGGACACCTTTTTTTCTATGGTGTTCAACACCATGAAAAATCACAATGTCAACGTTTGCACTGATGTGTGATGGAATTAATTTACAACTTTGCACAGCAGCCGAATGTCGCTCTAAATGTGGATTTTGATGACTTCCCTCAATACAATGCAATAAAAAAAAGGGGGGGGGGATAAAAGCTAATCAACATCTCATCCTTACCTGTATAGTACTTTTATTATTTTATAGGAACAGATTTCAATCATGAAAAACTTGCAGGTCACCTCTTATTGGGGTGTGGGCATGTTTTGTAATTTACTTACTCCAAAAAGGGGATATCAAAAGACGTGCCTAAAAATACTAAGGGAAATAATTGTAAACGTTTCATCCATTTCCCATTAAATTAAATTCCCGTCAAATTCAGAGATACATCTTAAGCTTTTTATTACTGCTAAAACAAAGAATACCAAAGAATACATCAGTCACTCATTTAATGGAGACATCAGGATGTTGGTTTCCTTGTATTTGTGTCGCAAGACTTTCACAACTTTTTTTTTTTTTTTTTACTTTAAAATTGTCTGCTTGAAAACTGCCAGGTCTTCCCTATATTGTAAACCTAGGATTACATCAGAGTATGAAAAAAAAAAATTTACTAAGTCTTAGGGAAAGTTATTTTTCTTAGAAGCTTAATTTAAGGTTTTAGTTTGGCTGTAAGCCTTAATTCATCATAAAAAACAGAAAAATTACCTGAAGTACAGTGCTCTGTGTGTAATAAATTGATATGATATACTATTTTACTTAATGATACTTAATCAAAAAAAAAAATAAACCATTTGATACCATCTTTCTATGGCTTTTTCGTAATTAGTTCTTATTCTGCCAAATATTTGCATTAAAACTGTAATTTTCACATGTTAAACTGTGGGGTTAACATCCTTTAACCCAAACCAGTTATGTAGCCACAAATGGGCCATTTTTCTATACAGTACACTGAACACTAAAAGTGCAGAAAAATTAATTCTGATTCATAAATCCCCATTTTAATTATTGGGATTGTAATTTGAACAAAACATCTTTGTATTGCTTTTCTTAAAATGAGTATTAGCTGCATATATACAGCGCTAGTTTACACCAGCCCTATCAAGTATCGTCTAAAAGCAAACAGGTATGTTTATGTTACAATGACCAGCTTGTAATTCTGAGCGAGATTGCAGGTGTCTCTGTTAAAGGAATATGGGCTGTGGCTACATGGGCCAATACATGCTTGTAATCTGTGCCATTGGCAGTTAGGAAGCCGAGCTTACTGTGACTGACACAGTGGTCTCTTCTGTGTGTTAAAGGCGGATGCCGCCTCTGGCCCACATCCAGACTTCCTGCTCAGAGTCCCAGCCCAATCAATTCTTTTATGCGTTTCCCTCAAAAACAAACCTCTGTCTGTGTTGCCTACAGGAAACTGTGGCCGCTGTTGAGCTGTGCGCGAATTCTTCACAGAGCTACTGAAAATCAACAGCTTTCTGGCACAAACACCTTTTCAGAGGTGGTAATGACAGCACAAATGACAGACAGGTAGACGTGTTAATGAATGGAAAAATCATCAAAAAGGATGGACTGCAGATGGAGCATGTCATTCTTGCTTTGTGATTTAAGCTTGAAAAGAAATGTACAGTGGATATGAGGAACCTTTATTTTTTATTTTGTACATTTATGTGATCATTTATTAAGTTAACTTATGTAAAGGATTGTTTTTATAATTCTACAACATTTTCAAATTTTCTAAATACGTTTCCTGATAGACCAACAACTAACTTTTAGTGCTTAATGGAAAATATTTGGGGATTGGAAGACTGATATTGTATATCCTCACGGTAAGACATGGTGGTGGCAGCATCATGCCGAGGAAAAAAAAGAATTACAATCGCAATCCAAGATAAAAGAGCCTTGTAGAGGCTTTGAGCGAGATAAGAATTGATTACAGATTTATCTGCAATCAAACAAACTACCCTAAATATACAGTCAGAAATACAAGGATGTGTGTCAATAGTCCAGGCAAAGTGATGAAACAAATACTTTATAGATGCTCTCTGTCATTTTTAATTTAAGACATTTTGGAAAGAAAAAAGGGCAAATATGAAGATCTTATAATCTGTGAAACTGCTACAATTTAAACCCCAAAGACATGCAGCCATAGGCCCATCAAAAGTTGGTTCAGTACAGAAACTAATAATAGGGCTAAATGTCAAACTTTAGCCAAACCTTTAAAACCGTTCATCTTCCTTAGATCTGTGCATATTTTATGATTTACTAAAAAATATTTGTTTGGCAAAGAGATTAAATGTGTAAAAAAAAAAAATAAAAAAATTGATGCACAAAGACATTTTCTGAACATCAGTGATTTACTCACATTATACGTTTCCAGCTTCACTCTGTTGCGGAAGACGAACGTGTTGAAATTTGCATGCTGAAAGATCTCATCAAATGCTGATTCATTCTAAAAGAACAAACAAAAATATTTTTTCATTCTCACTTCACCAAACCAATACAAATCAAACAAATCTATTGATACTTTCTATTAAACTCAATAAAACACATAGATGAAATATAAGAAATTAAATAAGCAAGGATGTATGCTTGTAAAAAACTTTTTTGCCGAGGTTTACTTCCTGAACTGGCCACATATTTCCTGAAATAACCATAATTTTTTTTTTTAAACAGCAGACTCACAGAGTCCTTGAGCTGGCCCAAGTAAGCTGCATTCTGGCCCAGAATGGCCTCTGCACTCTCCTGGAAGCAAGTTACCCACTGGTTGTCGCCATAATCCGCAATGTTGGCCTGATGAGTAACAGAGGGAAGAGAGAAGGTAAATACGAATAACAAGAATGATGAGGTGTTTAAAGTGAAGTGAAAGCCCTTTGGGAAACTCCTCCAACTCCCATTGTCATTGTGACACAGCACACACAAGTGAACACTGCACACCATGAAATTGCATTTATGCCTCACCCGTGCAGCCCTCAATGGCGCCCCAAGGGAGCAGTGTGGCGGGACGGTACCATGCTCAGGGTACCTCAGTCATGGAGGAGGATGGGGGAGAGCGCGTTAATTACTCCCCGTTAATTACTCCCCCCACCAACCTGGCGGGTCGGGAGTCGAACCGGTAACCTTTGGGATCCAAGTCTGACACCCTAACCGCTCACCCATGACACCCACCCAAAGTGTGAAGTTGGCTGATACTGCAGAGTATATCCTGCTGCTTATCCTGGGAAAACGCACAGCATCAGTGTGGAAGCAGATTCACAACTTATTCTACTGCTTGTGAAGATCAATATGTTAACTGATGAAGGCTACTAAACAAAAACATCTTATTGAATGGTCTACATTTCAAAGTTCTGTTTCTCACTAAGCTTTGTCAGCTTCTTTACAGGAATATTAAATCAGTAATTTGCTTCCAAGCTGAGAAAATGTTCATTCGTGTTAATTATTGAACACACTGTAATTTAGTAGTATAGAGACGTAGAACACTAACACAAAGCTGTAAAAAAAAACGTAAGTTAAATTAAAGTTGGTCCTCAGAGTTTTACAGATGGCATAAACATTTGTAGCCTTAATTGCAAAGAGCAGTTAGAAGCAATGTTGTGAGACAGTGAAAAGGGTAAGAGGGAGAGAAGTTTAGGGTGAAGGATATGGAGGGAAAATAACACATTGAGAAAAAAATGTTAATACAAACTTTAAAGCATAAAATGGACCTCAGCTACAGCCAAACAATAACAGCGGTTTAAAATATGAACATTTCTATGCATGTAATGCGTCATGGACAGTACAAAATAGGGACATGGATTATAAGTATATATTTTCTTACAGATAGAATGAGGCGGTACTTGAAGTTGGGAAACTCTTTATCACACTTCTCACAGCGGAACATGCCATTCTGTTGGTCAATCACTTTTTTGTTGCAGTCCTGGCTTGGGCAGGCCTGATAAAGGCAGTTCTCCTTGCGCAGAAAAACTATGGTGGCTATGCAGGAATAGTAGTCAGCCTAAACAAGCAGAAAGTTACACAAGAGCACATTAAAGATGTAAAAATCTCTCTTAAATATACATTTTTTTTTATACAATCCAGTCTTCATGCACTCAGGACTTTTACAATACTTTTTTTTAATGTTAAGCTTTAGGATAGAATTCTCAGGAGAATCAAAGGATGTAGAGTGGATAAAAAGGTATACAGACGAGGAATAATTTTTTGAGGCCTGCACCATGAGGGTAGAGTAGTAAAAAACAAACCCTTTCTGTAAATAAAAACATCCCAGCTAAGGTCATTTTAAAAGAAACACATTGAAATGCAATAGAATGTGGAGAAATACGTTACGGTCATTGACAACAGTACAGACATTTTTAACCAAAGCTCCAAAACTAATGCCTCACAAAAGTAATATGTCACCAGAAAAAAAAAACACTGTCCTCACTGTGAATCATAATAGTGCCAGTATCATGGTTTGGGATCATTTTTCTTCAACTTGCAATGGGTCCAAGTTTAAGAGGCAGTAAACTATGAACAGTTCTACATATTAGTCATTACTGGCAAGATACTTTCAGGATTCTGTGAGAAAGCTGAAGATGAACCATCGGTTACCAACAGCTTACATCAAAATCAACAACTAATGCTTCACCATAGCAAGATTAAACCTTAGGAATGGTCCAGCTAGACCATGGACACTTTATTTTGATTAAACATCTGTGGGATGATACAGAGAAGGCTGTGGAAAAGAAAAGCTGCTGGAATATGATGCATCTGAAGAGGCTATTACCCAAGAAAACCGTGTTGGAGCAAAATCAAAACCTTCTCTGGAGGAGTATTAGTTGAAGGGTGCCCATACTAATGGATCTCCATCACTTACATTTATCATTTCCACTTTTAGGTAAATTAGTTAGGCTAGATGAAGATCAACAGCTTATAGACAGCAGGAAAAACTTGTGGAAATACTGAATGGGGCCATTTTCTTATCTCACAAATCCAGGCCTTTACAGGACTGTGGACATCTTTATCTACTGCTAGCAAGTAAAAAAACAATCATAATGCATGGACTAAACTGCAGGGAGCTGATGCATTTGGAGACAGGAAGCAAATGTAACACACAGCTTTTACTTGCTTTCCACAGCAGGTTGAATCAGTAAGACAGCAACTGATGAACACATAAAAACATCAAGATGTGTTCCAAATTCCTGCAGAATGTCCCCCAACAGAGGGAAATCTGAGTCACCATAGGCTTTGATAAAAGGCTAATGGCTCCTGCTCAAGCTCAGGTTCTAAACATTGTCCTTTTCCATCTTGGCATCAATGTCCACTGTACTTTATTAAAAAACAGTGCTCTAAAATGCATAAAACTACATGAATTAACAAGCTTTTCATTTCTGTGCTACAAAAAAAAAAAAAAAAAAAACATTTTGTAAACAAATGGCAAAAGGCTATGGCTATTTTAATACCCATTGTTACACAAAAATAAATGTCAAAAAAGTTTCAGATTTTTTCTGTGAGCAACTTTTGATGTAAATGTCTCCAATTAGTCTATAATTGACCTGTGAGAGACAAAGGGGGGAAAGAAAAATACATAAATCTTGTCGCCATGACAGACTGTTAAAAATGTAACGTCAAGCAAACAAGCAAATTGTGCCCAGTTGCTTTCAGAAGGGGCACAGCATCAATGTAGAGACTTCAAGTTGTGGCACAGAGACGAAACTATGGTGACAGTACTTTGTGTGGAGGGGTCTTAAAAAGCCTGACCCCCCCACGCTGCCTATAGGATATGACAGTCTGAGGTCAGCCTCAGTGATACGTTGTCATAACCATACTTTGTTAGATGATATACAGAACAGAAACAGGCAACTTCAGATTAAAGTGATTTTAAATTGCTGAACTCTTTAAAACAGTGAGACATTAACCTATAGTTTAAATGTTAACGCAATTAAAAATACTTCTTCAATTTGAATAGATTATACAGCAAATTATTTCAAGATTTTTTAATATTCTTTTCAAGATCAAGGCCTAAAGCTAGTTCTTATTGGACTAAAAAAAAATGTGGTTAAAAGAACTAAACAATGTACTGTCAATTGTGTACTAATAGGTATATGTACTCAGTGTTTGGTTGGGGCTCTGCATCCTGTCATGAGGGGATTAGCAGGGAGATGGTGGTTCAGAAGGCAGCCTCTTTTCTGTTATTCTGCCCCAGGGCGCTCTGGGTCCTCTGACCTGTTAAAGAGCTATACGGGTGCAGGTTATTTACAGTTTTAGAGGCTCTGAGAGGTATTTAGGGAAATGAGGTTGCTTTGACAGCCGCCTTAAACATGCATGTAGTGTTGGGTCCAGTATCACCTTCCAGATTATGATAGTTTATACATTCTTTGTAGAGTTTAGGTCAGCCCTGTTTTCTGGTCAATTAGGTGAATTGATGCCATTTTTCATTAAACTGGGTGTTTAAACTTTGAGCAGTGTGTTCAAGTGCAAAGTCATGGCAAGAAAATAAAAAGGATGCTTTAAAATTCCCTAGTGAGCAGCAGCACCGACTTTTGACTTGTTGTAATGAACTGGACCAACACCAGCAGATGGCACGACCCCCAAGCCTACTAAAGGAAAACTTTACTTTAATCCTCATATAAAGTGGATTCGGTGCCAAACCCTCCTCTTGATTCTGCGAAATTCATTTGCAAAAAAATCTTTGAAACACCAATTTACCATACAGGCTTTTTTTTTTTTTCCTTAACCAAGGTAAGACTTTATGCGCTCCAACTACATATTGCTCTGGTGCAAAGATTCCTTGATAGATGTTTCAACTTAAAAAAAAAAAAAAAAAAAAAAAAAAAAAAAAACTGAGCAAAGATCTGGTTGTAATCTAATTTAAGCCTGTTTCAGGGTCACTTTGTTATAATGCTTCTCTGGCATCAAATTTATTTCCATTGTTAAAAGCTCAAGGTTGGTTTTGCAGGATACATGTCTTTTTAGTCAATCATTATCCCTATGCATCTTACCCCTGCAATTTCTATATTCACAGATGTGGCAAAACACAAAGTTAGTTTCTCTTGCAGTTATCTTTAAGACTTCTCCTCCTTTTGGACAATATCAAAGACCTTTCATCTGACTAAATCAGCAGTCTTCCCTGTAATTGAGGATTGAATGTCATAACATTTCTGCATTAAAAATCTTTTGACATTCTCTGTAAATGAAAAAGTGAATTCCAGGTGTTCATTAGCTGCGAGTCACAATCATTTAAATTAATAGTTATACTTGCTTGAAATGTATCACTGTGCAATTAACCTACCAGTTCTGCTTTTTGGTTCAAATGACTGAAATAAATTAACGTTCTATTGTATTTCATTTAATGAGAGGTGCCACTATAGGTCCCCAGTGAGCTGAATACCTGAAGTGCATTAAAATCCACACTGTGATCAGAAATAATGTGGAACAGAGCATAAAAGAAGAATAATCATAGCATTAACAGTATGAAAGGATTACTCACAGCTTTAAGCATAAAGAGATTTTTGATAAATGTACTTCATGTTACCAATTTCCAAAATCCCATTGTTCACTTTGCTAAAGGTTAAACACTTGAAACCCTGTTTAATCCATACTTTTTGTTCCAGTTTCATTGTATACACAAACATAAAATAACAAGGTCTTTCATCTTCATCACCATCATAACTGAATACATTTAGAATTTCTCATGCCTTAATACAAAACATATCATATTGTTATAATTACTATAGCTCAGTACATTTTAAATTACCCCAAATTATCAGAGGTAATGCATCTGCAGAGGTCACATTATCTTTTAGAACATTTCTCCACTTCTGCTAGCAGTTTTCTGCAATGCCACAAACAAAAGGTTAAAATGGAAGAAAATGGATTTGCCTTACTATTGCATGGGCAGCCATTTCATTACAGGGCAAGGAATGACGCCTATGTAATCTTCACAATCAATACCAGAGATAAATGCGTCTCACCAGGTACATAAACTAGAACTATAAGCGGACATCTACAGAGAAGGGGGATTAATGAGCAGCAGGTGATAAATGTCGCTTGGATTTGATTCTAAACATAAATGGGGGTGCAGTGATATTATATTTTATTGATTTTATTCATTGCACTAAGACTAAACAAAAATCCCTTTTACAGCATAAATAGAAAATGGAGGCAAAGGCACAGAAATTAAAGCATTGTGACCCGTGTGCACAGATTGTTGTTTAGGGCTCATAAAAAAACATTTTACTGTCTCCTGAAACATCCCAAAGTCACCATTGAATAATGTTTGTTGAGTCAACACAGTCTTATGTATTTGTGGCTTAAGATAATGCAGCATGTGTGTGTACCTTGTCGCCGTGTCCAAGATGCTCCGACTTAACATCAGCCAGTGTCTTCCAGTTTTCCATGTAATTTCCACTGCCGCCTCTCACCTCCGTCAGCGACTGCCCCTCCATGGCATGGCCTTCTTTGTCGAACCTATAAGGATTAAAGTCAGAGGGACAGCTAGTTTTACCCTGGTTACAAATGATAAGCACTGATAAAAGCATCCATTGGGTGGTTTGTTATGTTTACTGAATGTGCTTTAAACAAAAGCACTTGGTTTTGTGTATTAATTGGGGAAAAGCGTAGAAAATGAGAAATCTGATTTTTGGAATAGGAAACTGCAACTTTTCGCTTTATTGTTTCTGCAAAATTTACATTTGCAATCAGCTTGTTCACTAATAATCCACCATACAAATCTTACTTTCCAAATGTAAATGGCGTACTTCACTAATTTCCGGTTGCAGCCGTGTTTGCTAGCGAACAAAAATAAAATAAGTAAAATATAAACCGGTGCAATTAATGGGAAAAATGTTTAAATGTATTCTGTACATTTGCAGGAAACTCCTGACACATGTTGCGTGAGCAGCATAAAAACAAGGGTTTATGAAGAAGGCCAAGTCACCTCTGCAAAACAACTTCCACAGCATCCACCACAAAAAGAGTCAGTGACAAACTTACTGATAATATTTTCACTCAAACCCATTTGAGCCACCATGGCTGCAGTTTTAAGCATGAACCCCAAGAACGTTAAACAAAAAGACGAAAATAACACAGGAACCCGTTCATTTTTCCTGAAGCCAAAAAATTAACTGCTCAACTTGCAAGTTTGATCTTGATTACCTTATATACAATAATAGTAATTAAAGAGTAGGCCTGTCACAAACAAAAAAATTGAAATTGGGTCAACAATTTAGTTTTGGATGTTTGTTTGTTTCCCCTCCATCTGCCCTTCTTTCTAAGATCAGAAAGGGTTTCTTTCTAGTGCACCTGTCTCCAGTCAGCCCTCCCCTTATAGTTTCCTTACAGTAATGGGTGCAGCATAAGAGCTTTGCAACAGAGAAGCAGCCACGCAAACAAATGCTAGTTGAGATTCAGAAAAACAGTGGAACTTTATTTCAAATTGAAAAGTGACGCCTGCAATGTGGAGGCGCTTTGAATTTAAACCAAATAGTATCATCATTTATCACAATATTTCTGTTTATCGTCCAGCAAAACCACTTATCGTGGCAGGCCTACTAAATAGTATTTTGCAACCAACTTTACTACAATGACAAATATGATGACATTTTTAATTAGGACTGAAACAATTAATCGGATTCATCGATTATTGAAATAATCGTCAACTAATTTAGTAATCCATTAATCGTCAGCTAGAGTATACAGACTGTAAAACATGCCTTTAGCTGAGTAACCCACTTATAGTTGTAATTATACAAAAACTATTATAAAAAAAAAAAAAAAGTTATAAACATTTTGCCTTTAAGATAAAAAAAAATGTTTTAGTCTGTCAATATGCTCTATCCAGAACTCCAAGAGGAAAAGTTTTAGTTTCACCTGTTGGGTTGTTTTTTTTGTAAAAAATCTTTATGGAATCTTTGGCTATCCAACTATTAATCGAAAAACATAATCAACAGATTTATTTGCTAAATAATTGTTAGTTGCAGCCCTAATTTTAATAAAACTTTATTAAAAAACATTAAAAGACTTTCTGACACGGTTTCTATATAGTAGCAAGTTCAACCCATCCTCATGCTGACTGTAGACAACCCTGAACATACATAATCTACAGAGATCAATGGAAAATAATATGATCAATCCAGCTATGGTCAGTATTCTAATTCAGTTTACCATTTACCTTGGTACCATTACCAAGGTATGAGCCACAATGCATTGGTTTTTACATGCCTTTTAGAAGAACGTCTTAACATAAAATAATTACTTTTCCAAGCAAGGGATGCATTAGCCTTCGTCAGATGGCTCATCTGAGAATATAGAAGGCTTGGAGGGCTTTGAAATGAATCAACAGCACAGAGACGGATGAATTGGCCAGGGTCAGGGCTGATATCAAAAAGAAACTTGTTTTCATGCGATGGTCTCGGTTACTGGAGAAAAAGACAATAGGTGGAAGATGATGAAAAGGCAGCTGAAGAACTCTGGTAGGGTGGAAGTAAGAAACTAGTGGTTGAAGAAGATTAATTCAAGTTAAAAGGGTCAAAGATCAGAGTTCACTAATTGAGTTCCATACAAAAAAAGACCACTGGTTGTAAATATGACAGACTGCCTTTTTTTCTTCCAGGCATGACTAATTAAACATCGTCCACATTAAAAATTCAGACTGTGGCCCAGCACAAGCCCATTTCCCCACCTCTGACAAATGTGAGCAATTCCATCCAGTGGCAGTGATTTCCTCACTTGTGTACCTGCAAAGATTTGCTTTAATTGCAGGCAATCACTAATCACCCTCTGCAAGATGAAAACGGCAATTATTGGACATCTCAGAAGACGAATGTCTCTACAGGGAAAACCCATGTAGCAATTGAGCTGAATTGGTTAAAACGGCACCCCATGTTTAAAGGGTATGAATGGAAGCCTTGGATGTCATGTCGAACATGCGGATTCAACAAAACTGAAAATGCTAGACCAGATACTATTGTAACAATCTGGTATGAGTGTGCAGACATCTATAGACTTTAAGAAAAGGAAGAAGAAAGACCGATTACAAAGAAGGGGGGAAATTTTTTGTCCATCGAAGCATCAACATTAGCTGTAAGCAAATATGATGCATTGTTAACGGAAAGACAAACTAACTGCACAATAGGAATTAAAGACAGACTTGTAGCAGGGAGCACGTCAAATATGACCAAGTCTGTCTAAAGGACAGGACAGCAGTGGAGAAATGTCTGAGGAAGAGGCATGAAGGGATGAGGAGAAAAGTCTAAGTAAGCAGTGTTCTCAGCTCCAGGCTAAGACTCTCATGCCCAAGCTGAGAGTAGCAGAGACAACAAATATGATTCCTCTATCTTCCATGACATGTGTATAGGCCTTTCATCTAGAGCAAATGACATGCTGTCAAATGCAGAACTTGTTTCTAAAGTAAACAATGTAGGTATAAAAATGTGTACAAATAGAAATGAATACAAGTAAGACAGTATATACCATATATTAAAGAAGTCCTAACTTTTAGCAGAATAGGTTTTAGATTCTAATAAAAATCAATGACAAATGCTTTAATTAAGACATTAATAAAATGCCTAATGAAAGTTAAAATAAGTCCAAAATAGCTAGAGTAAAATCCCTGTATGTTAGCAGAGCTACAACACATCTTTTAAAGGTCAGGATAAACATTTAATTCAATTAATGAAATTGTTTGATTGCCTATCACAAGCAGTATGTAGCTCCTTAATCTAAAAATAATTTACCATTACCTAATGACTTCCTTAATCACTCTCCATTAATGAAAAACAGCTCATATCTTAGTGCAGAAAGATAACATTACTAGCCACATATTTACCAACATGTTATATGAAATTCAGAGGAAAAAAAGCATAATAAGACTACAACTGGACTATTGAGAATGCTTGTTTATTTGCGCTCAGGCTCACTTAATTACTGTCCTAACTGTCTGACTTGTCTCTGCAAGTAGAAATACTCAAGCCCTGATAAGGATGACAGAAAATGTAAGCTCGGCTAAATGAGATAATGGTAAATGTCTGAGGGTGACTGCATCAAGGAAAGAGAATAAAGCTGATAAAGACTGGATAAAAAAAAAAAAAAAAAAGACTCATGTCTGGTATTACAGGGCAGTTTCCCTAAATGTGCTTTTGCCACCTAATGGACAAGTGGTCAGATAACAATGCAGATTTCATGCAGACAGCAGCCTTAGTTCACCCATGAAAAAGAAGTAGGAGAAATAATCATGTTAACACCACATTAAACAAAGATCAAGATTATTAGAGCAAAGAATAGAATTCTTCCTACAAGGACATTATTGCCATTTCAGTCAAAGCAAGATTAGCTTCCAGCTTTTCAAAGGAGCTGCACCACTAATGCTCTGCATGAGTATAAGACAACAGCCCACCAAGGATAGACTATTCATTTAAATAAGTCCCACAGGTCTGCGCAAAAAAAAAAAAAAAAGTCAAATTATAATGCCTCTGCAGCAGTAAAGGAGTGTTGTTTCAGCAGCCTTGGGTTTGTGGTTGAGGGAAGAAACCTCAGGCTTGCTAAGTGAAAGAATTTAATTATGTATATTGTGGACTGAATCAGGCATCAAATTGTTTCCTCCTTTGTACTCAATTTTATTCACCAGGAACATTTAAGAATTATTTTTTTAAAAAGGAGGTACAGTGCAGCCATTTTGATGTTTTTTTTTTGTTGTTGTTTTTTTTATGATCAACATGGGGCATACAGCAAATCCAATCAACCAAGGTCTCCAAATTAAAGAATTTAATTCAAGCATTTTCCAGGTCTGGGTAATGAGCATTGGCATTTCCAAATCTTACTCCCCATTCTACTTTTTAGATTTTTTCTTAGAATTAATGCATCCATCCATCACCCTGTATAGGTTTCAAAAGTCATTCTCAAAAAGTGGGACATGGTTCTCCCCCCCGGTGGTACATGGGCAGCCCAAGGCACTTTAAATAAAAGTGCAACATTGGAAATCTATAATTGTGTCAATTAAAACACAAAGTGTTTTGTGGTGGGCATATATACCAGGCTTTTACTATATTTCAATCAATTTATCGTTAATTGTCACACTGACACTGTTGCCACCGTATGCTTGACCACGGAAAATGAGCCGCCCGTCACATCATTTACACTCAGCGTGGCTTTAACCCCATTCTAGCTGTCTCCGGGAGGGGGTGCAAACTGACAACACCACGCTACATGAGGAAGTAGCCGTTTACATCTTTATCAAGGCCTCTTCATGCCAGTTGAGAGCAACAGTCATTTCTTTCCTGGAGCTTTTCCATCACTGGATGTCTCTAGAGGTTCACATTTGCAAACTTTCCCCAGAATGAGCGGCCGTTAGCTCCCCATGTTTTCCGTGCAGATCCGTCCGTTTAGTTAAAATTCTGTCCTTGTGAATGCGTCAATCATAAACCAAGCTTTAATAACTGAGTCTGTATATTTGGCAACTTTTCAGACCCCTCTAGCATTTTTTCCAACCAAAAGAGCAAAAACAATAGTAATGGATAACGGAAAATTAGCGATGATTTTCTGTGTTGCTGGAAACTTTGGAGACATGTCTTCAGGTCACTTGCTGCTGTAAGCTGAGAAATAGCTCCACAACAAATTAGTCATAACATGTTTTTCTCCCCACTATTTTCTAATTATTTAAGATTTCACAGTCACATCAAGTAAACTACTTTGATGGTTTTGATGTGATAAAGTATTAAAAATAGTTTAGATATAAAGACTCATAAAAGGCAATGTAGGTATTCCACAGCCAATAGTCCTATAATAAATACAAACTAAAATAAATTGGCAAATATCATTTTTATGATGAAGCATAAACATAGGGCTAATGACTACATTGGCCCCAGTTTGTCCACAGCTGTGCTACGGCTGTCAGCTATTCTAAGTAATGATCCTCTCTTGACCGTTGCTCTCACAAGAATTGACTTGGACTGCGAGTAATGAATCGGGTCTCTCCTCCTTCCATCTGTGACTTAAAAACTCTTCATTAATGACTGCCTTGAAACCTGTGGGAACCCAGTGTTCAGAAAGGACTCCCGTGGACCAATGTTTCTTCTGCAGGAAATTAAGCCAACATGATGATTTTAAGGATCGTTATCTCTAGCCGCCTAAGAAGAGACTGAGAGTGGACAACAAATGCCTATCATTAAACCTAAGAGGAAACTAAGCCTTATAAAGTCTTTGCAAAATAGAGTTAATGATGTGCAGGTAGATGGAAAAAGAGCACCCTAGGGTGATCTTAATTAGACATTTTCCATCTCTAAGCAAATAAAATGATCCTACATCAGAAAGCCATTTGCCAGGCTGGAATGGCAAACGTGATACGTGTTAATCAGGCAATAATTCATATGAAATAGTAACATTATTTAAGTCACAATTTTGGAGTCAGATTGGACTGCTTTGCATTTTTACTGAGAAATTATCTTAATATCCTACAGCTATCAATTCTTAATCACTTTAAATGTGACTAACAGAATGCATCAAGCTATATTTACAAAGATACCCGCAAATATTTGGATTAATTTCTTCATCAACATCACATATCTTTAGATTAAACACCAGAAAAATAAAAGGGGAATCATTTTATACAAAGAAGAATCTAGGTTTCAAATCATGCTGCAAAGGCGATTAAAAGGGTAATAAAGAATTTTCACAGATTAACTATGATTTCCATTTAGATGTAACGCATCATTATAGCACACCAAGTATGAGGTTGAGGGGAGGAAGCTAATCTTAATAATTAGAGTCTGAGCATGCACACGTATAAACTGAAAACAACCTGCCATTTAATTTGAATACAATGGGAATTGACAACGGTGTCCCAATTGCTTGTGAAACACATACAGCTCCCAGCATGCCATTCTGTATGCAAGTACTTGTAAATATTTCCTCTAGCTGTATCAGGGATGCTTGGCTCACTTACCAGCCTCTGAGCTTGTATGCCTCTGGGATATCTGGGTTTATCATCATGGTGCTGCTGAAGGATGCAGAAAGTGAGCGGCCTCCATAGTCCGAAAGCTTTGCCCCTTTTATGGCTACAATCGGCTGTCCAGAGCCGTCAAACTTTTCTGCCTAGAGAATGAAAAGAAAAAATAAAAAAGAAAAATAAAAAATGCAATTGACTTTTGTCTATTTTGGTCCAACAAGTTTTTTAACAAAAAAAAAAAGGGAGCTCACATTTAAAGAACTTAAAAACCTCAGACAGCTGAAATAACCAGACGATCAGAGAATAAAAAAATAATCCACCGGGGAGTAACTGAAGACTTCAGACGGGAGAAATCTCTTCAAAGTTGTTTGACACTGTCATTGTTTTATAAGGACTACACATTTGATTTCATCAAATCCCTTTGGAGGTGGGATACCTTTAAAAGAAACTAGACAGAGGAGCTCTGCATCTTTAAGAGGAAAATAAAACGGGATTGAACTCAGCACAAGGGAAAACAAAAATCAACTTGAGGAGTTCACTTGCATTATCACAAGGATACTTTTCAGTCAGTAACTAGTCTGTTAACGTAATATTTATAGGTGTCCAACTTTTCAGGTTTCCCCAACTAAAGGAAGGAGCAGTATACCAATGATCCTCCTGTTCAAATATTCCTTGCACAAACTGAATAAGCAGGACAGCTTAATACAGATCTAATACTGATGCAGTCATTTAAAAGTCTTGGACAAAAAACTGTCTGGAAAGAAGTTAGCAACACCTCCGCACAACCCTGTTACTACTTACTTCCTCTCCCCACAGTGTGACGTTCACCAGCTTCCCAGACATGTCCATCAGACTCAATGTTCTCTTAGATACTTCCCGGTTGGACTTGGTTGTGAGTTTGGTCACCTCGTCCACACTTCTACATACTCCAATCACATCTGTAATGCAAAAACAAATAGGTCTTACCTCTGGCAGCATAGTCTGGAACAATTATTGGACCACCAAACACTGAAACTTAGTTTATAGTCATTTTGCATCTGAAATGCATTATAGCTCAAGTATGATATTATCAAAAACACAAAGGAATTACTGAGTGTATCTAATTTCTTAAGCTGTCTGAGACAATTCTCCTTGATGTGATTTGGCAGTGAAATAAAACTGAATTGACTATAACATTGAGTCTTATTTCATAATGGTGGAATGTCTTTTCTTGCTAATTTAATTCTCTTTGCACTTCCAACTAGTTTGTTTGATGAGAAACCATGAAAGAGCTGCAAGTGTTTCACTACAAGTCAATCATGCATCACTCAAACAGTTAGTATCAGTTTTACCAAATTATAAAGTATTAATTACTTTGTAAAGACTTTAAAGTATTATTGGTTTTATGATACAGAAATGACCAGTAACACAAACATTTTTTATTTTAATTGTTTAAACAAGTAAACAGGGGTAGAACATCTATTTTTAGGGGGAGCTGAGTTACACCGGGTTATCTTTTATTATTAAATTTCCCTCTTATTTCTTCCCCAGGTCTGGGGTTTCATCATATCGTGCATTCAAATTCTTTAACCAGTTTTAAAAGTCTGGAAAAATAAATGAAAGCAGTCTGCAGCCCATAAAAGAACAAAAGAATTGATGAATAAAAAAATATATATCAAAATTTTGTCAAAACACGTTCCTCAACCAAAAGCTGGACAGAACTGTATCCATTATTAAAGATCTTTTTATTTTTTGCTAGAGACACGTTTAATACTGCTTTAGATGCATACTGTTGTCTTTCATAATGTCTTTTCAAAGTTATTTGAAAAGATGCAAATTTGGATCCATTTTACCTTTAAGTGCCCAGCCTAAAAATCTCAAACCTGGAGGAAACTAATCAAAATGTTATTCAAACAGAAATCTTACCCTAAAGATTAAGTAAAAACATCATCTACCAGTTAAAGCAACTTTCCCCCAATTTTTATTAGAAAATTTAAGCACTTTCAATGTGCATTAGTGTGCAGACAAGTACAGTCGTGGCAAAAATTTGAACAACTCTCATCACCACTAATGTAATGCAATTACCTCCTAGTAAATAAGCCGATAGTTTCCATTACAAACTATCCACAGAATGGACCATTATAGGAAGCTTAGAAACACCTCAGCAAGAACCAAGCAGGGCATTAGTTACTTGATTTGTGCCATTAACACCACACAAGACATTTAAAATGTATTCAGATGTCTTTGTGGATGAGGGTGCAGCAGTAAATATGTGCTGCTGGGATTTCTCCCTGGTAGAGTGGGTGCTTAGAGGGTCAGGAAATGAAAGAAGTCAGAGTAACACTGATTGCGTTGCAGGATAAAACTTTAAGAACTATTCACTCTGATCTTTTCACAGAAACCCTGAGCTCTATTTTATATTAGTCAAACTTATATTTTAGGGTTATCTAAGTATTTTTATGCAAGACGAGAAGAGTTATTAAATGTAAAGAACTGAGCAATGAACCACGGACTAATGTTAAACTAAAATTATTGTCCTTCAAGAAAAGCCTGATGGTACATCTCTACTAAAAAATCATTTTCTTTAAAAAAAAAACAGTGCTTTAATTTATCTTATACAGATTATAAACAGAGCAAATGCCTTTTTTTTGTCCACCGACTAAGATTGTTAGTTTTAAAGTGTGACTGCTACTGCAACGTGTATGTGGGTATAGATATGGGAATAAAAGCTCCGTACCAACAATGGCATCCTTTTCTCTGTTTTCCAAGTCCCCAATGGAGACAAAGTCACACTGCACCATGGGAACATCGCAGCTGTCCTCACAGGGAATGACGGTAGACTCTCCATTGAGAGTCATTTCATAGTCGTTCTTCACTGATGTGTACTGCTTGTTTGCGATCTTTAGGGAGCCCCTGGAGACATAGTAGACCTGGTTCATGCAGAAAGATAAGCTCGGTGTTAATCAGAGATCTGGGGAGTATTTCACCTGACTGAATGGTGCAAACGAGATAGGACTTTAGACAGCAGGGGAGGTGGGGAGGCATCAACAAAGGCTGGCAGATGATCATAAGCTGCTTATTGTATGGGTATGAGGCTGCCAGATGACTCATTCATAGTCTCTGTGGTTTTAACTCGCAAAGTACTGGCAGCTGTTGACAGCGCACTGTGCTGCCAAATCTGTCTTTAACAGCAAAGAGAAAGAAAGTTTCGCCAGATCGTTTGGATATCCTGAACCGGTATCTGTTGGATGAATCTCACCTTGCCAACCTCGATCAGAGAGAAAAACTTGTCAACTTCTTGGTTAAAACCAGTCACACGGATTTCTCCCTTTAATAAAAAAAAAAAAAAAATTACTTTGAAAAATTAAAAACAACTGACAAATTTAAGCGATTCTGAGACAGTTAATTTTTCATACAACATAAAAACAAAACTTACGCTCTCATCTACCATCTCCATCGAGAAGAGCTTTCCTTCGCCGCGAGCGTTGCTCCACGTACGAATGGAGCTCTTGTTGGTTACACGAGCACGGATTGTCCACCTTTAAAAGTAAAATAGGAAGGATTTTCTCATTCGAGGCTTGTAAAAGCAAAGGTGTTCCTACAAGCATGCATGAATAAATCTAAGCTTTCTCAATGCACTGGATCTCTGTAGCCCTTAAAAAAAAAAAAAAACGTATTCTTAAAGCCTTTTTCTATCCTCCAATCTTTAACGCTTCTGTTTTTTTCCCCAGGTCATGTTTGTGTCCATTACAAAAGTAAAATAGCCCACTAATGAATCATTAAATAATGGTCACCTATTTGTTGGAAATGTTAAGCATGTCTACTCACACGCATTTGTAAAACAGTGATTGTGTATTTGTGTTCTCATTATGTCAGAAAGCAGAAGATGGACAGCCAAACATTTAAAAAATAATTGATTGACTTTACTCATCTAACAGTGGAGAAATGTACTTGTTACATCGGCTCAAATAGTCAAAAAAGAAGAAGATTCCTTAAGGACAAATGTGGAAGCACTAAAAGGAGCTCAATTCCACCTCTTCTTTACATTTAATGTAAAAAGAAACTACATTTTTTTCAGACCTTGAAAACATTAAAAACTCTAAACTTTCTATAATTTGAGAGACAGTATAGAATGGGGGAAAATATATTATTAAGAAAAGAAAATAATTCTTAATAATTCTGCTTGTCTTGCTTCGTCAGGTGGAAAATTCAAGTATCTTCATATAAAATCTGGTCTCTGTAACAAAAACCCTGTTTGTTGTGGAAGTTGTTACTCAGAAAGGGAGACATAAACCCATCAAATAGCTTATTAGCCAGCTTTTTTTATATATGCGTTTAAAAAAGGTTTAGTTAGAGAAAAAAAAGAGGTAATTTCAAAACAGAAAATTTTGATTATATTGAGCAAGTTTGCAAAACGGACTTTCATCCAATAGCAGATGGTTGAACTGTTGAGGCTGTTGGTTTTGCAAAGATATGTGCAGCAGCTACTAAACAGTTTTAAACTATAATAGTTTTGTTTGCCTTAAAACAGTATAGAACAGGGACTCCTCTCGTACAAAGCAGAGCGACTTTGACTGCGAACATATGAACAATAAATCCCATAATATAGTATAAAGGAAGAAAAAAAATGCAGATCTACCAGAATAGTTAAGAAAATTTATCTGTATTCAACATAGAGTAATTTTAATTATACTACAACCATTTAGCTTCAGATGGCCCCAAAAATCTATTGAAGATCAGATAAGACAAACCTCTGTGATGGCAGGGTGTAATATATAAACACATTAGGTTCCAATCATACTTTCTAGGTCTTCAATGAATGGATATCAAAGTAAAATGTTAGGCTAACAACATATAAAGCATGCATACTGACTTGGACTGGTAAGGGTTGAGACTAGCGATGGGGACAACTTTGGAGCCACCCCCTGGAGTATCAGGCAAAGCAGAGGGAACCTTCTTCATGAAGTCTCGATTTAAATTCCTGTTCACTGTTAGAGGAACAAGGAGAAAAAAATTTATCTGTGATGAGACATATTGGCTTAGAGTCAAAAGAGAGATACATACATCAATCATCCTGGGAAAATTACCAAAATCTAATTTCTTTCGATTGTAACCGCTTGATCACTAATTAGCTCACTTGTGAGAGAAAGTTTCAAAGAAAAGAGGTATCAGTTTAAATTTACCAGTGCTGACTTAATTCGTGCACGACAGAGAGATTAGAACAAGAATGATATCAAACCAGGTGGCTAGAGATATATGATCCAGCGTTTTGGTGAGAAGTATGATTCACATTTCACAGAATCAAGGCAGAGTGTGAAATGCTATAACAAACTGGATCCGCTCTTCCCCTGGAGAGCATTGCTGCCTGACGTTTAGATTTTCCGTTTGAGCAGGCACTGCACATTAGATTCGTGTGCGTCTCACGTGGAGGATTAGAGTTCAAAGTGTCCACTTAAGTCCTCCAACTTTGCAAACCACTGTACTTCTGGTAATTAAGCCCCGAGATCAAGCGGCGCACAGAGAAATGAACAATGACTGTGCTGATGAACAGGAGGCTGCCAAAATCTTAATTCCCACATGGCAGATTTGATGGATGAATATCTACCATGACACACGCAGGAATAAAGCACAACCGCTCTGACAGCTGGATTTCACATGTCCCCAGGTTAAAGTTACCAGCAAAAAAAAAATCTTTTTCGAATCTTTGACATTTACAACCAATAGTCGTTCATCAAGAAGTCAATTTTGTAATCTAACCCGCACTCTTGATTATGTGTGGCTGAATCAATAACCCCCTAAAAAAGTGGATATATTCACTAAAGCACACAGGCAAAAATGAATACAGAAATGCAGGTGGGGTATGAAAAAATATATATATATATATTTTTTTTCTACTATTTAAAAATGTAAATATTTCCACAGTGGCTGTCAAAAAAAGTCATGTGAATCTTCAAGTCACTGCTCTGCAACAGATGACTGCTGCCATCTGTTGGTCATATTCTACAAGTACATATCATCCCTGGATGTTTTGAGCAGAAAATTCAGTCTATTCATCTAAAATGAAATTTTGCAGCTTCAACAAAAGCTTTCCCTCACCTTCATTTCTATTTTGCTGCTGCAGTGGCTGTCTGGTTTCAGGCACCGGAGCTGGAGCTGGGGCTGGAGCTGGCTGCTGCCCTTTACTCTGACCTGTACAGACATTCAGATTAAAATGAAGAATTCTGTATTGATATCAGGAGGTAATCGATATGTAAATACAACACAGAAACTTGTATGGAAAAAGAATTCATATAAAGCAATATTTATCCCAAACACTAATTTAGGTTGCAGATCTGAAGTTGAACAGCTGTGCACATGGTCTCTATGACTTTTGCTTTACATATTCACTGATATGGTGGCAGCTTACAAAGTGGGAGAATATTTACCATCAGAGTAAGGTGTAGGGTCTCCGATTTTACCACCAACCTCTTCAGCAGGCTTCAGGACCTGAATTTCTAAAATGATGACCACTCGTCTGCAATGAAAGATAATACTTAAATGCATACTTTGGAAATGTTTTGATCAAGTTTTTATTTTATTTTATATGAACTACAGAAAATGTTACATTCCCACAAAATTCATGAATTTCTGAAGTCGACTAAGAAATCTTCATACCGTCCATCTTTGAGCATATTTGTCACCTGCCTCTTCAGGAGGCACACACAGTTTGGAACCAGAATGTTTTCCTCAGCCATGTAGTTTAGCTGAGTTGAGAGCATAAAGGCTGCAAAGAGGTGAAAGAAGAGATTTAGACTGGGAGAGCAATGATTTTATAGGCTTAGAAAAGCAACAACCTAATCCTATATTGAATCTTTAGGAAAACCAGTAAACTCCAGCACTATTTTCACCGTGAAATCATTAAAATATGAATCCTAACGCTCTTCTTGTCAATCGCTCATAACTCCTACACTATTGCAAACATTGATCTATAAAATAATATGGAGTCCTAATAGAAACCACCTAAAATTACAAGACTTGAAGAGTAGCGGGTCAACTGCTCACACTGGAAAAAATTGAAACCTAGAAAAGTCATTTTTTCTTATAATAAGGGCATTTGTTCTTGGACTGAGGAGGTAAATGAGACATCTTGCCATTAGAACAAGACAATTTACACTTAAAATAAGAAAACACAATTGCATTGTCTTATTTCAAGTGCATGTTATCTAATTATCTTATTCTGAGAGAAAAAATACCATCTTATTTACCTACTCAAATTAAGGGTAAATACACTCAATTTAAGAAATTGTTACTTTTTTCTAGATTGTTTTGCCAGTGCTCTTTTCACAATCTCATACAGCTGCCTCTAAATGTTTAAAGGAATAGTACACCCAAAACATGATTAGCCGTCATTTTCTACTCACCCCCATGCTGAACAACACTCTGGAGTACTTTTTTGATATCTCAAATGCATCTGGAGATCTGGGAGGCTTCTTGCTGTCTAATGACATTCAAATAATGGAGGTCTATGGTGCCCGAGACAGAAAGGTCCATAAAAGTCCACAAAAAACATGTCAATATTCCTCCATACTGCTCGTCCAATGTATTCCAAGTGTCCTGAGTGGGTAGCATCCAGAATTTACTCGAAACGAAGTCATTTAGAATGTTTTTAGAGCATAAACAGTAGTGTATAGGATTTCCTGAAAGCGCGCACCTGCGAGTTCACGACGCTACGGAAGCCGGCAGACCAAACCAGCGCATTCAGCTCGGCAAAGAACTCATGCTCTTCCTCAACACTGAAGTCCTCAGACATTTTTCTTTCGTTGTTTCTTTCTTTGCACAGGTAAACAGCACATTTCTTCTTCTACGCTTGCACTATCGGCAGAGCAGACGCTGAAGGCGCACTTTCATCTGGTTTGGTCTGCCGGCTTCCGTAGCGTCGTGAACGCGCAGGCGCGAGCTTTTAGGAAATCCTATACACTACTGTTTATGCTCTAAAAACATTCTAAATGACTTCGTTTCGAGTAAATTCTGGATGCTACCCACTCAGGACACTTGGAATACATTGGACGAGCAGTATGGAGGAATATTGACACGTTTTTTGTGGACTTTTATGGACCTTTCTGCCTCTGGCACCATAGACCTCCATTATTTGAATGTCAGCAGACAGCAAGAAGCCTCCCAGGTCTCCAGATGCATTTGAGATATCAAAAAAGTACTCCAGAGTGTTGTTCAGCATGGGGGTGAGTAGAAAATGAAGGCTAAGCATGTTTTGGGTGTACTATTCCTTTAAGCTTACCAGTAAGTATAAAACAGCGTGGTCTAATTCGTGGAGATTTTTGGGAAATACTGACAAATCTGAATAAGCTACGTATCAACATTATATTATTCCATGCTAAAGATAAACAAACTGAAATAGTGTTCATGAAGTAAAGTGACAAAAGTGTAAAATTTCTAGGCACAAACAACTAAACAAAATAAAAACAACTTACATGAAAGTGTGTGTCGTCCATCGCTCATCATCACCCTAAAGCGAGCGGGCCCATTTCCACCATCAAGTCTGCGTATATTCTAAATATGATGATTAAATTGTTGATTATTTTGATCAATTTAATGGTATAGCAATATGATGTTTCTCAATTGGAACAATAATAAAAAGATGATAAGATGAGGAATAAAACAAACAAACAAACAAAAAAAAAAGTAGGAAGGTTAAAGCTTTTTTGGCCAAGTTCAATCCTTTCCATAAAAATAACCTAAAAACCAAATATTGCACTTAAAATACCTGAATAATGTTAAACTTGTGAGAAAACAAATAGAGCAAAATGAAACAAAGAACAAGGACAAAGGAGGGGCTTTATCATTCTCAACACTGATTGATTTCAAGAGGGGAAACAAAAGCTTATAAAAGACAGCTTTTTACAGTTATATCATATTGTTATATTTAAATTACAAGTTTTTAAAAGTTGGAATGAAAAACCAGGTACATATATTACACAATGATGTTCATCATTTTTGAAAAATAATTTAATTCGATGTTCTTTGTACAATATTCCTCAATTAAAAGCAGTGTGTATATAGATATTAAAGTCCAAAACCTGCAGCGGTTTACAGCATTCTATTTATGTAGTTTATAGAATATTTAAGTAGAGCGGATAGCATATTGGTGATCATTTATGGTAAAGCTCTATAAAAATGGCCTCGTTACTTACCACCAACTGAAGCACTGCCTCGTTCCAACCGCTACCATTTGCTAAAGCCTGGAAAACCCATTTAGATTAAATTACAGCAATACAGTCACACATAAACGCAGTATTTTCATTCAAATTATTTTATCAACTTATTTGTAGCTACTTTTATTGAAATTTGTATTTAGTCAGTTGACATTTCTGTCATTTACAACAATTAAAAATATTAAAATGTAAAAGTGTATACTTTCAGCTGTGCTACAGATTGCATTTATTTAAATCGGACAATGTTTGAACAAATTAATGTAAGCAAACTACAGCAGACAAAAAATAAAACTTGCTGAAATTAGTTTGGAAAGACCCAACAATAGTTAAGCTTACCTCTATCGCCCCCGCTGAAAGGTTTGCCATGGCTCTATGAAGGTGGTTTAGCTAGAAAATAAGATTTAAAGTAGTTTCAACAGGTCAACCAGGTAGAAGAACCTCACTCTGGAAACTGCTTTAGTTGTGACTGGCGCGAATGCTTTGACGAGGCGCGCGCGCGAAGGTTTGGGTCCTCGCAGCTTCCGTTTCCGTTCACTGATCTGAAGTCAGTTTACGACGCTTCAAAGCGCACTTGCAGCCATAGATTGCAGCAGATATCAGTCGCTGCGAAGCTGACCTGAGACCAGCCGCGCCAAAACTGACTATGACGTTGTTTTGTCTTCGTGATATGTTCAAAGTATGTACGGAAACAAGCAACTTTCATACTCCAAAAAAAAAAAAAAAAAAACGATGGGAATAGAAGGATTTGGATTGATAAATATTTGTTATTGTTTGTTTGGACAAAAAGATTGTTTGTAAAATAGGTTATTTTATTGTATTTTATTATATTATATAAAAAAATGAAATGTTAGAACTGTAAATTTACAGCCATATGTTTATGTTACTGTTTATATAGATATATATCTATATATATATATATTTTTTTTACTATCTTTCAAGGCTGCACTTTTTTGTATAGAGAGCTGTTCTTAACGAAATTTCTTTCTGTTTTACACTTGTGTAAACAAAATGACAAATAAATTTGTCTAAGATACCACACATAGCAAATAAGAAGCACACTTATTAATAGGGGTGAATAGGACTGACAAGGGAGCCTATATTTTCTGTCGTTAATTAGGGTTCCTAAGGGTGGGAATATCTCGATATCATGACATACAGTACACTGATAAATGTAAATTAAACCGAACAAAATGCATCACTGTTTGTTTTTTGTTTTTTCAGTTGGATTCCTTTAAAAAAGGAGGATGTTATACATTTTTTCCTGATGACCACTTTCCTGATTTTGCTGCTGCATCCTGCTAGAATAAAATTAAAAAGCAATTTATTTCGGTAGTTTAAAACGTGAAATTTATTTGTACAAAACGATTACACTCTCTATGATGTATTATACATTTTTGTTAATTTGTATTGTTATATCTTACATTTTATTTTAAGATTTGGGGAGATAGGGATATCCCGTAGTCCCAATTGAAAAATACTTACATATACAGAAATGTCATGGAGAAGACATGTGCTTTGACATTGGCTCAACAGACAGTAGTTGGCCATCTCCACCATAAGGAGGATGACACAGAAGGTAATTGCTAAAAAGGCTGACAGTCAAGCAAATTAGTATTCAAGCTTAATAATAAAATGTTATTGTGGAGCTGAAGAAGCAGCAGGGATGACTGTTGCCTATTCAACAATCAAGACTTTTGAGAGATTCAAAGCTTGCTGAGTGATCTAATCCTTTTTTCCTTTTTTTTTTTTTTTTTTTTTTTTTTTTTTTTAGATAAAAGCACATTTTTGCACTTTGTTTGGAAATCTGCCTGTGCAATTTTTTTGTTTTATCAAGTCAAAGTCAGTGCAGCTGTATTTGTGGAAACTCTGGCTTCTTTGTCTAGACAAAGAAGCTTTACAAAAAGTTTGATTTTCTTTCCTACCAGGACTTGACACTTACACACACTGCAGCATGAATCAATATTTAATGTAAGATCTTTGTGCTTGACTGGCCAGCAGGAAGATGAGGGACACCAGAGCTCACAACACAGATCCCCTATAGGCTGTTATCAAGGCAAACTGGGCTTCCTTAACCCATCAGAGCTACAGGATGGCAGCCTTCATTCCAGGCCTCGATGATATAGTCAGTCATGCAAAGCATAGAGCAGGTATTAAGTGTATAAGCTAAGGACATTCCTTTTCAATGATCTCTACTTTAAAAATAATTTTTATTGGTCTTTGAAAATATTTAAATAATCTGAATTATTGACAGTTTGTAGTCATAATCATCTACATAAATACTTAAAATACATCTGTCTAGTAAATCAGTGTATAAGATGATTTTTGCCTTCTGAAATTAAAATGAAGTATACTATTATGAATTGAGATCCACATGTAAAATTGATACAGTATTTTATTTGTTTCTCTACATCTAAGTTTAAAAAAGTATTTTTGGTTTCAAAATGCTGTGTAACCTTTATACTGTTTATGCAATATAGACATCATAGATATTTTCCTTATATGCACAAGTAATTAAAAAATTGTATACACAGTTTTTACAAAGCGTAAAAATAATATGACCTCCCTGCTAACCTGGATGTCCTCTGCTTCTTTGTTAAATGCTATAAAGCATTTATTCAAACATTTTTGTTTTATTTAAGATCAGAAGTAATGCTGGTGATGCTGATTAAGATTAACACATTTATGCACCTGCAAAACAAGCATAAAAAGTCCAGAGATATACTGAATTAAGGAATATTGTTGTTCCTGATCAGCTGTGCTCTTACATCACAACATCTTGAAAAGTCTAAGTGATGTAAAATAAAAACATCAGCATGGTCTAATAGTACAAACCTTCAAGTTTTTATTTGCTGCATTTTTCATTTTGCTTTTTCTACAAATTGCCATCTGGTGTTTTTGTGTAAGGAAACAAGCAAACATTTTTAGTTTTCAAAGATTTTTTTTTTTTTTTTTTTTTACCAGAAAAGCAATACTGTAGACTTAGCTTGTACAATCATACTATTGGTGTGAGTTTTTTCTAGAGGAAAAGAAAAGGAATAAAGTTTCTACTTGGGAGGATTTCCAAATGAGCCCACATAATTCTTGTCAATTGGGAATCCCACTTTATCTTTGCTTCCAAATTCTCCCTTTTCCAGGACAGGGGCTCCAGGATTGGGATTGTTGATGACACCCATGAAGATTGGTATCTGAGTTACATCATCCATCAGCACAAAGAAGAAGGGCTGAATGAGGTGAAAAATAGGATTTGATGACCTTGAGATGACGATAGTTGTGGCTGCAGCAGCCCTTGCGCCATCCTCATTTATTTCAATGCCAGACTTGTGCATAAACCGAGACACCAGTAGAGTGCCATCTGCAATTCCAGCCAAATTGGGATTCTGGAACATCTCCCCGAGACCTAATAGAAAAACCACAGTTAAATAGGAAGTTCAGAGACACCTTTTGTTACAGCATTTACTGATGTGGAAAGATCCTGTCTTACCTAATTTGGTAAGAACTTCCTGTAATTCTTGGGAGTATTCCAGTTTAAATTTTGGAACTTTAACTTGAACAGCTCTCTCTTTGGGTAAACGTTCATACAAATCAGAGATATTTAGATTTGAAGACAGTAAAGACACATTCACTTTTCCAGACTCAGGCATTATAACCAATAAACTCATGTCGTTTGTGAAAGGGAACCTTGCCACCTGCACAAGGAGACAAAACATTGTGTTGCAGTGGAACAGAGATGATAATATAATTAGAGTTTCTAAAGGTTTGTATCTGTAAAGTACTTTTTTACAGATTTTACAACTGAGTTGTTGGTATATAATATTTACAATTGGGTGATTTACTTTTTAGCAAAAAAGTTACTGCTGATGCATGAAGAGTTATGTACAACTACATGCTCTACTGAAATAGTTTTAGTTCACACAGTAAAGGGTTTTGGGAGATTTAAAAATGAATGAAAGCACAATGAGGATTACTCTGAATAAACTCTGGTCAAATCTTAAAATCTGCTGTTAATAGAGCAGATTTATTCATCAATTTGATTAAAGATAAAAAAATCTAAAGCCTACATAAAAGTTTTTAAAAGAATTAAAAAACACATCCTTACACAATAAAAAAAATCATTAATGGCATAATTAATTTTTATCTAGTCTGCAAACAACTTTCCAGAACAAAAACTCTAGACAGTATATTTTACCTGAGCTTCTAGCTCATTATCAATGAAAAAACTCAGCTGGTGTTTGGCATCTTCCATCATATCAACATCCACCATGTGCAAATCATCCAGGTAAAAGACACCTTTGGAGGTAAAGTTTGGGTCAAAACGAGCTTTCCATTCTCCTGTTGGACACATGTTAAAAATGTTCTTTAGTCAGCAGCATCCATTAAACAGAAAACAATTCTTAAACAAACAATCATGTTTTTTTCATTGCTTAATCAATGTGTTAGATTATATACTAATGGGTATAAAGATGTACATGAATAAAATAGATTATAAAAAAGTTTATTTAACTGATAACCAACTTCAAAATAAACAAAATATTTCTTAAAGATCCATTATAGAGACAATGCTCTGAAATTATATTATATTATAAATACAGTAAATGAAAAACATAATATTCTGTTAATTAGAAAAATAGTATATTACATACTATGGCCAACAAAAGAAGATATTTAATCTAGATTGGTTATGTTAGCCACCGGTTGTAAAGATGGTGGTTGTTAAGTGTTGTGTTCAAGACTGTTACTGGGGAATAATGCAGTTGGGGAACGAGAAGCATTTCAGAAGAAGGTATACAAGAACAAGCGTTTACTAGAGCCTTTACATTTTTATAAAGCAAACTTATTTAATTTTGGTGTAGGATTAACCGGCAATGCAGGTTTTAAATATAAAGTTTGTCAATTTACTTGATAACTGTCAAGTCTGCAGTATTTCCCATGATTGTGGAGATCAATATTCAAAATCCCACATTTGTTTTTATGAATTATCAAATTTTTTTAAAGAAACTGAATTATGTCCATAATATGAATCTTACAACAAATAAAACTCATAAAATATCAGTTTACATGCTATGAGTGTATCTCAGTTTTAGCTTGAACTAAATTAGGTTAATAAATAGCCTTTTAAATAATATCCTAATTTATTTAGATACACCTGTAAGTTTTAAGTATATTATGCTTGCTGGTCACCTTTGAAATAAACAGCATTGATGAGCATGAGAAGTATATTGGGTGGTAAAGAGGGTAGGAAGTCAGTTATTTTTCCCTCTGTTACATTCTCTACCCATCCATTTATCTGCTGAAGGCTTTCCACTATTGCAGGTTCTGAGTCATAAAACCGCAGAGATTCACGCACAAACTCTTGCTTTGCCTTAAACCCTGAAAGAAAAAAGAAAAGGCTCAGTTTTGTTGTTCAAAATTAGATTAAATGGGACAGTAACAGCAGACAAATAGCATGCATGAGTTGCACATTTGATATGAGTGTTAGAACAGACGAATGCTTCTTAGGA